AAACGTCTTAACTTTTATAAAAACACAGAAGCTAACGGCGTTTGTAAGTAAAATGCCGTTACAAAATTGTCACTAATATTCTATTTTCTTGTAGTGAAATAAATATTATGTATGCTATATATTCAATTCTAACACAACAAGTTAAGGTTTAATCTATAAATACCATTAATTTCGTTATAATTCTAAGATATATACACTAATTGAATATTTAAATCAAAATATACATTCTTATATTTATAATATTTATTGTATAAAAAGTTAAAAATTAAACACCAACTTTCTAAACTAGTGGTGATTGTTAGTAATTTAAAATGTGGTGCATTTCATATTGGATAGAAAGATTTAATTATTGATGAATAAAATTAAATTTTTTTATTAATTTTATTTATATTTTAAATAATTATGTTTGAACATAAATAATTATCATAAGACAAATGATTATAACTATTTAAATATAAATAAATTATTATTCTTAAAGCTCATGATTATACAAAAAGTTATAACCATTTAAATAAAAATTTATGTCTGTCCTTTCATTATAAATAAATCTTTCAGTATAACCGATTTCACTACTTTTGATTGAAGAGTTTAAAGTTTTATTGTATTTTAAACGCATAATAACTTTTAAAAAAGTATTCTCCACGTCTTAAAACCAAAATTTTTTTATATTATTTCTTTTCTTTTATTTATTTATTTTAACAGTATCAGCATTTTAGATTCTGTAATGCTTATGATCACAACACAAAAATATAACAATTCACAAAATTTAAATAACTTCTAAAAACTATTTTAAACAAAAAGAATTGAACTCTTTTGGAATTGAATTGCTTCAACAAATGATGACAGCATGATGCCCTTTCCTTAATACGATACTAAATACTGCACCAGTGCTGCTGAAAGGCTTTAAGGCAATACCTTAACATTCTCTTTTAGGAATTATTATCACAGAATCATAATTATATAAGTAAAAAATTTTAAAGGCAGACTGAAAAAAATAATGCAGTTCTATGTGATCCAACATAGCAAATTTATAAACAGCTATATGTTTTCTGTTGCAGCTATGAAGGCAATCCTGGACTACATAATGAGTCACAGAGAAAATGCGTTTTAAGTTGATACTGGGAACCTCAATAGGAGTGCTAGCAGTTGTATTAGATCTTTTCTTGGAAAACTTAATATTGTTGCACAATCTTCGGAGGAAGATGTCTCACCGGAAATGTGATGAAAATGGTGTGTGCACTTAATTACTCGTTTTATCAGGTAATTCCCAGCACTCCATCACCAAACTTTCAACAACCTATTCAGTTGCACGGGGTTGTAATTTACTGGACGGAGATGTGGCATACTATATCTCACTGTCTGAGCTAGAAGAAGCAGCTAACTATTTTACCAAAAAGATTGGCAAAGGAAGTTTTCGATCTCTCTACTACGAAAAAATGAAAGATGGAAAAGACGTAGCAGTCAAGACAATGGGTGATTCATCTAGCCAGTTGAATAAGCAATTTGTGACCGAGTTAGTTTCCTCTTTAGATATATTCTTCTAACATTCTTTACATTTTCACATGATAGTAAACCGTAGTATGTTCTACAGTTCCTTTTCTAATATGAGAAATTCCACTTCAGTAATCCAAAGATATAATAAATCAGTAAAAGAAAACCTAGAGTAGGTGAGAAGCTGATAAAAAAGCCAACTCTTAAAATAGACTATTGTCCTTTTACCATATGGAAAAGCTTTGAATTTCCTATTTGCAATATAAGTTTGAGAATTTTAGCAGAGCATTCTTTTTAGGAGAATGCCAGAAGTTTGGATTCCTAGATTCTTAGTTTTTCAACAGGTGCCCCCAACTTAACATCTTGTCTAATGGGAGGAAATTCTCAAGATTCTCCCATTTAGGCCATAAAGTAGAGGAAAGAACAAAAGGCAGGAAAGTGAGAGCATCTCTATGAAATAAGTTTGTCTGCTAAAATTTTCTCTATGGCTTTGCTGCAATATTGTTGAGGCCAGCCCACTTGGAAGGATCTATAGTTTTTTTTTTTTTGTCCTCAAAACCATCTATACCAAATGTAGTTGGCTTCCCTAGGTGATCTAATCAATAAATTAGAGACCTGAATTGAAAGAATATTCCTTCTGCAAATGTTTTACAACAAAGACAACTAATAGAGATGGCTGTTGTGCAAATACTAATTGAATTAAAACTTTTTGATGATATGATCTTTTGTCCTGAAGTGAAATGCTAAATCAGCAAGTCGTGTAAATATAGGATGATTAAGGAAATCATTTAAAGCATTAAATATAAATAAAGCTTCTCCTATTAAAAAGTAAAATAATATAAATTACCTCACGCTACATGGTTAAGTTATGACTGAAACATGATTGCAGGTTGCCCTCTTATCAAGAATTTATCACAGAAACTTGGTTCCTCTAATTGGATACTGTGAAGAAGCACATTAATGGATATTAGATTACAAATATATGCACAATGGAACTTTGAGGGATCACTTACATGGTCTGCTTCTCTACCAAGAAACCAATCTGTTTATCTTCCATCTTTCTCTTTTTCAGAAGCTCAGTCTGGTCAAAACAATTAAGAATCTATGGACATGATGGCAGGTTCAGTCAATCAGAAGCCCTTGGACTGGCTTTCTCGGTTACAAATTGCAGAAGATGCACCTAAAGGTTTGGTATAGAAGTTCCGATTTATTGGTGCATTAGTATACAGTTTTCAAGCATAAACATTAATTTAGGATTCTGTAGGCCTTGAATACTTGCACGCTGGCTGCAATCCCAGTATCATTCACAGAGATGTAAAAAAAAGCAACATACTTCTAGACATTAGCATGAGAGCAGAAGTGTCAGATTTCGGACTTTCAAGGCAAGCTGAAGAAGATTTAACCTATGTATCAAGTGCAGCACGGGGAACAGTTGGCTACCTCCATCCTGAGTAATCTATGTATAATTACCGTTCACGAATAATTATTAAAATTTTTCTTCATCATGTGCTTAGCCAATCATTTATAAGCTGTAACAGGTATTATGCAAGTCAACAATTGACTCAAAACAGTGATGTATACAGTTTTGGGGTTGTTCTGCCGGAGCCAATCTCTGGAAGCCGGTATCAGTAGAAGACTTTGGCGCTAAACTGAACATTGTTCACTGGGTACACTTGTCTGCAGCTTCTTTTAATTTTTAGATTTGTGGTGCTGAATTGAAGCATAAAGCCTGAGCGCTTAGTTCTTTTACAGGCAAGATCGTTGACTTGGAAAAGGAAATGTGATAAGCATTATAGATCCTTTTCTGGTAGGAAATGTCAAAATTGAGTCAATTTGGAGGATTTCTGAAGTGGCTATCCAATGTGTTGAACAACATGGGTACTCCGGCCCCAAGATGCAGGAAATAATTTTGGCTATACAAAATGCAATCAAGACAGAAACAGGGTATGAAGGCAAATCTAAAATTAGGTCCGGGTAGTTCCAGAGGGCAATCTTCCAGGAAAACTTTACTGGAGAGCTTTCTTGAAATTGAGAGCCCTGACTTATAAAACGGCTAGCTACTCCCATCTGCTAGATAATTTTGTAGCACAGCTGCGACATTTTTGAGTATCGTGATATCACTGTCATTTTTTATTACTTAGCATGTATATGTGGAATCTAACAACTGTAACACACGCTTACTGCTTTCAGGAAATGTTGTCTTTTACTCTGCTTATATAAAACCAGATAGAAATAGAGGATTTTTTTTTTTTTTGAAAGAAAATTGGATTTTAGTCCAACTTTTTAAGATCAAATAAAACTAGTGAAAGCTGCTGAAATTATTGAACTAATTACTACAACTGAGCTAGTAAAAAAATTATTATGAGATGTTTAGTTTGCGAATTTTTATATTTCAAAAGAAAAAGTAATTTAAAAAAAAAAAGTAATTTTGAAAGGAACGAATGATTTTTGAGATTTGTAAAATTTAAATAATTTAATAATTTTGTATTTAATTAGAGGAATTTAAGATTATTTAATAAAATTTTTTATTGTATTATTTTTGATAACACATGAATAAGATATAACAGATAAAAAATATAAAATAACTTATTTATTTAATATTTTATAGGATTTTAAATATAAATTATTTATATATTTAATTAAATATTTTCAAAATATTTTATAAGATTTTGATTATGCGAAACCCAAGAACCATATAATTTTTTATAATAAATCTTCAATAAAAAATTTTTTAATCTTAAAAATAGTCTTTGTTGAAATAAAATAATTAATAAGAATAAATTTTTTTATAATATATCTTTAATAAAGACTAAATTTTTAATTTTTAACAAAATTTTAACTTTATCTCTTAAATTTAAAAAAGGCCTTAGATAGAGAAGGGTTTTTATTCCTCTATTCTATTTTTTTCTTTGAAAATTTTAAAAAATTTTAAAAATCACATTCTATAAATTAAACTAAAAAATAAAATTACAAAAAATAAAATTTCAACAAAAATTTTTATTTTCTCCTCAATCAAACCTCTCAGATGAGAATAGAACATCTAAAAATTTAGCGTTTCTGAATTTGATTCTATGAAATACACGACTCTTTTGAGTTAATAGCAACATGATTGATTGCCCCACAAGCAACTGTACCCAAAAAAAAAAAAACGTAAGGGTTATCGAAGACGAAGACTATTCGTGGTCCCGTAATCAAGGCCTAGCGCTGTAGTTTGACCTTTTCAGCTAAGCTTGGGGTTTATTTGAGTCACCAAATCCAAAGTTTTAATGTGAAAACCGGAAAGAACCATACGGAAATGATAGCGTTAAAGTAAAGCAAAAATATTGGCAAGCCGGTAATATTAATAATTACACACTAAGTAAATCTAAACCACTAATTGCAAAATTATATTAACATATATAAAAGATAAATAACTTATTTTTTATATTTAAAATTATCATAATTTAAAATTTGATAATTAAAATTAAAATTTTAATGTTTTGTTAAAAAATTAATAATTTGCAGAGAATATTAATACTCACTCTATTTGTTTTGAAAATTTAAATATATAGTCCATACTAAAATATAATTTGACCATAAATTTTGGGATTTTGAGATTTCTTTGAATCAGAAATCTAACTGTCACCAAAATTATTTAAACAGACCTATCCTTTTTTATATGAATTCAAACAAACCCTTTGATTATGCCTTTTAGATGAATGATTATTATATTTATAAAAACTAAAATAATGAATAAACATAAGAATTAAGATATTGCCACAAGGATTATAATTATGATCTTATCTTAAAAAATAAAAACAGTTGTACAGATCATCATCTTAATTGTAATCTGATTATATTATTATTAAAAATATTCCAAAACCAAACCCAAAGAAAGAATTATTACTATAATTATTTTGGCCAAGAGGTGAAAGACACAGTATAATATATTTTTTCTTCATAGAAGCCGCCTCGTGTATAATCACAATAAGGATAAAAAGAGAAGGAAAAGACAAGAGAGAAGAAAAGGGCCTTTTTTATTCTCTCTCTTACTTTCGGTTGTCCTTTGGGATTAGGTTCTCAAAAAAAGAAGACCCAGTTGTTCATCTTTGTAGATTCTTGTTCCCTGTCAAGGTTTCTTTGCTTCTCTGAGTTGTTTCTTTGGTTTTTTTTTTTTTTTTTTTTTTCAAGAGAAAGAGGAGAGATGGTGATGGTGTATTATCAGTTGTCAAAGTCTTCTTATCAGGACTCTTTGAAAATACTAGAGGCCGATATACAACATGCAAATGCTTTGTAAGTTTTCTTTCCTGGGTGTTTAATTTTCTAGCAAATTTAGTATTTTGATCGCTTTTTTCTTCTTACCTCACCATCCCTGAAGTAGGTTGTTGATATGTTCTTGTTGTTTCTGATGACGATCATGATCAGAGAGCTTAATTTTTTAGCTACTTTGCTAGTTGTGAAAAAAAGAAAAGGAAAATTACCCAGTTTGGACGTTTATGTTCTTTACTCTTTATGATAAACTTTGGTTTTCCTGATGATATTGTTGTCCTCTGACTGGGAATTTGTAGTATAACCAATTGCTGATTTCTAGCACATGGTTTTGTGTTGTAAATTGTCAGCCTAGCAATTCTTATACCAGCTAAAATCTCTCTCTGCATACTTGCTGGACTTGTTGGCAGTCTGATTTTTTTTTATCTGATAGGAACTAAAGTAAATTTCACTTATTTAATGGTATATTAATATTTGCATGTTTATGATAGGATTTTTCTTCAAAAAAAAAAAAAAAACGTTGGGAAGTTTGGCCTTTTGTCCTTTGGTCTAACTTTAGGTCATTATGATTCTTTGATGATTGGGTTAGAATGCAATTTAGATATCTCTATATAATAATTAGAGTGTTTGTGTTTTTGGGGTTTTAGGGCTGCTGCAATTCCAAGGGCCAAGAGTGGTGCACATCTTCAAATGAAATTGGTTTACAATCATTTGACGCCCCTCTTTCTATTTTTGTTACAATGGATGGATTGTTCCTGCATATGTCTACTCCCTAGATATCTAAACCTCTTTCACATACTTGTATACAAGGTTCATTCTTCTTGCCTGGCTTATTTTGATTCTTAAAGTATTGTTCACATTTTTTTCCCATACATATTTATATGCGCCCTTTGTTCGTTTCTATCTTGTTTTCTACAGGTCTATACTGATGGTAGATCAAAGGTTTCTACAAATGGAAGGAAGGCAACAATTAGAGAGTTTTATGGTATGCATATAATCATAATTTCTTGGTTTTATAACCATAAATTTCCTGCTATAATGATTCATTCACCTTACCATTGTCCCTTTTTGCTAATAAACTAAATTGTAGGTGTTATATTGCCATCTCTTCAAAGGCTTCATGGTAACTCGGGGGAGTTGGATGATGATAGGGAAGCACATTTTACAATGGGGATTTCTGCCAAGAAAAGAGTTGAATTAGATAACAGACTTGGGAATATTGATTTGGAGAGGGAAGATGAATGTGGGATTTGCTTAGAGCCTTGCACCAAAATGGTCTTGCCTAATTGTTGCCATGCAATGTGCATCAAATGCTACCGCAATTGGTAACTGGAAATCTCGTTATTCCTCTTACATTTCCATGCTTTCAGGTTTCACCCGTAATGTTTTTCTTTCCAAATTACAGGAACACAAAATCAGAGTCCTGTCCTTTTTGCCGTGGTAGCTTGAAAAGAGTTAACTCTGAAGATTTATGGGTGCTTACTTGCAATGATGATGTGGTCGACAATAAAACTGTTTCCAAGGAGGACTTGTTGCGTTTCTACCTTTACATCAACAGCCTTCCAAAAGATTGCCCAGATGCACTTTTCTTGGTATATTATGAGTACCTAATTTGATTTCAAGTAGTTGAGAAAATGGTGTACAGATAGAAAATGCCGACCATCAAATGTAAATAGAGTCTGGTAAGAAAATTATCTCTGCTTCCTACTGAAAAGAATCAGTTCCATTTTATGCTCCCTGGAATTTAATATCAGTGCAAGAAACCTCATTAATTATTAATGGAAGTTGTAATTTCTGAAACTTGAGTCTGTGATTGCCTTGTGTTGTTTGTTGAAAGTGATAGGCGAAGCACTTGAAATGGACTAATTTATTAGCCAAAGCCATCCCGAGTCTACTTTGTTTTTTTTTTATTTTTTATTGGAAGACTTAAATGACTGGTTGAAAAAGTATGTATAAAACAAGTGTTTTGCTTCATGGTAGTTTGATATTCCGACTTTAAAACGAATAGAGGCTATAAAATATCGACATGGTTCAGAAACGAAAAGGATCTGGCTGTGAAACCCAGAACTCTTAGAAAATTATTCATTCTCGTGCTATTAGAGTTATACCTTCTCTGCATATACCCGGTGGGGTTGCAATGCTGGAATTGAATGGTGAAGTGAATTAATTTCGAGTTAATTAGATGTAGATAACGAATGGATGAAGACTCTTGAGGAAAGAATAACCTGAATTAGAGAAAGATTCAGATACTACAACAATTCTGGTAGAGAAAATTGGTTCTGTTGAAGTTGATGGCAATTTGCTCCTTTATACCCTTCATCGGTTTCTCAGCATGTTGTTAAATGCATCTAATCAATCGATTGAAAGTTGAAACCAGTGCTATGAAGTTTGTATTTGCATGGTTCATTTGCAGCAGAATTAATGCGATACGCTCTCTTGCCGGTTTTGGTTTGATTTTGGTACCAAAAGCAACGACTTAACACAAATAAAACTCCATGAAAATTGAAAATTGAAAAAAGAAGGGCAAAAAAAGCCGCCACCGTTGCATTAAAAGCTATGAATAAGTCGAAATGTACATCAAACATTCATCACACTTGGTTCACCAAATTGAAACCGGGATGTCTTCAGGTAGACGGTAGGCCTACCACCCTACACCTGAGAGGCTAATTTATTGATAAAACTTACATATGATAGCGGGGAAAGGGGGAGAAAATTTCTAGTGAACGAGGAGTTTAAGTAAGCTTCTATACCTACTAATTATATGAGCAAAAGATGGTTTGCAGAAACCTTTGTGGAGTAAGAGACGAGTTATTTGTCGATGCATTGCTTCTGTGAGATGAAGCCCATCCCAGTGGACCAAACCAGCTGGGTTGTTGCAGGCAGTGGTGCCAGGCATACCGCATAGATTGTGCAAGTTGAAGTTGAGCAATCCACCTCCAACGCCACAGCATGCTTGGGATCCATCTGAAAACCCAAACCCTGCAAGGTTTCCCATGATTGTTTTGAATGCGTTGTAATAATCAGCATATGCAATTGTAACATCGGAACCATGCTTTCTCTGAAATTCTTCCAATGTCTTCTGGAGGAGCTGATTATGGGCCATGACCGCTCTGTTAAGAACTGCAGAACAACCCATTTCATCCTTGGCAAATTGGGGAATCAAAAACTTGGCTAACGGACAGCAGCCCACCGGTGGCAGTCCTTGAACCACAACGAATTTTGCACCACTGTCCAACACAGTCTATAACATTTACAAGAAAACAATTTCCAAGTTAATATATATTCAAGCGTTTTCATAATTGTATAAGGAGATTTCCTTTGAAGGCGTACATGTACATACCGTAAGGATTTTTGAGAGATGACCAAGGGTTATATCTGTAAGCCAACGCAAGGAAATGGAAGACCCTATTGAACGAGCGAAGTCATCTACGCCCATTTGTCCAAGCCAAATGAGGTTGGTTCCCATTTCTGCCTTGCATTCTTCCTCGGACATCCCTTTGCAGGCTATTTCCGTGAGAAACTGGTTGAACCATTCTATTTGTGTTTGGAAACCTAGTGGAATGCCTTTCCACAACAAGGTGTGGCCGATTTTGTGATTAGCAAAAAAGTCACCTGAAAGTGATGTGGCACCTCCTACTGCGAAGTTCACTCCGGAGTTCCCGTTGATATCAAAGTTTGCAGTAACGGCTTTATATGGTTGCAATGAGGATATGTTGAGAGCATCACAAAGGAAATCAACAACCAAGCGACCATTACTTGATCCACTGCCCGACTTGAAGTTAGAGTTTATGCCTTGAAAAGCTCTTGTCAAAAGTGCTCCCACGAAGTTTTTCACAATGCCTAACAATCGAGCATTTCCGGTGTCAGTATACGAGTCTCCAAAAGCAAAAACCTTGGGAAAACTGCCACTAATTTTAATTTCGGGGTTGATATCGTTGTTGTTTTCTTCACTTCCAGAAGCATTAGGACTCGTAGAAGAGTCGGAACCAGCAGTCATAGAAGAGTCAGAACCCGCAGACGTACCAAAACCTGCGGGAGAGCCAAACGCTGTAGAACCAGAAGCATCAAAAGAACGGGTTCCTGTGGAAGAGCCCGAACTTTTAAGACCACCAGCATTGCTTGTGGAAGAGCCCGAATTTGTAAGATCAGGAGCTGCAAAAGAACCAGTGCCTGTGGCAGAGCCTGAATTTGTAAGACCAGAAGCCGTAGGACCATAATTCGTAGAAGAACCAGTGCTTGTGGAAGAGCCTCCAGAAGCCGTAGAACCAGTAGAAGAGGCAGAACCCACAGAGTTCGTTGAAGAGTCTGTAGAAGAGCCAGAAGCACCAGAATTTGACGAAGAACCTGACCTTTTGGAAGAGCCGGAGGCATCAGAATTTGATAAAGAGTCTGAAGTTTTAGAAGATTGAGAACCCTCTAAATTACTAGAACCTGATAATGAATCAGATCCTGTAAAAGAGGCTGATGTACCAGAATCTGATGAAAAGTCTGAAGTCTTAGAAGAATCCGAACCCTTAAAATTGTTTGAACCTGATAAAAAACTAGAATTTGTGGAAGAGCCAGAAGCACCAGAACCTGATGAAGAGTCTGAAGTCTTTGAAGATCCAAAACCCTTAAAATTGCTAGAACCTGATGAAGAACCTGATCTTGTAGAAGAGCTAGAAACACCAAAATCTGATGAAAAGCCTGAAGTCTTAGAAGAACCAGAACCTTTTGAATTGTTAGAACCTGATAAAGAATCAGAACTTGTGGAAGAGCTAGAAGCACCAGAACCTGATGAAGAGTCTGAATTCTTAGAAGAGCCCGAACTCTCACAATTGCGAGAACCTGATTCACTAGAATTTGCAGAACCCTTAAAAGAGTTAGAATCCTTGTAAGAGCAGGAACCCTCATAGGAACCGGAACTCATAAAAGAACCAGAACCTGAATAAAAGCTAGACCCGTCAGGACCTGAAGCTGAAGGTCCATTAGATTTCACATTCTTGGAAGAGTCAAAACTTGCGGGTGATGGAGAAGGTGCAGATGAAAAGGAGTTAGAAGATTTTGAGTCAAACTCCTTATAAGGTGTGACATCGTGAAAATGTGCAAAAGAAAATGAAAATGATAAGAAGAGAACAAGAGATAAAACATGAAAGAAGTGCTTGGAAATAATCATTTTGTTGATTCAAATGGATATATATTTTTTTCGTTCTGTTTAGGTTGTGTATTTGAAGGTTTTTATACTTATCCCTCCTCCTTAAGATAGTATTTGTGGAAACGGTCATGTATGGACCTCACTGGTTTCAGGAGATCGTAAAGTTCTTAAGGGTTTACATGCAGGAGTTTGTGGTTTTGCGATCATGACTCTTGGTTTTCCTTACGGACATCTAGCCATGTTGCCAACTATTAACCTTTAATTAACTATCAAATATTATTTATGTTTTCATCTATAATTTAAAATTTTTATCATTCTTTGTTATATTCTTAAATTATCTTTTTATAATAATAATAATGATAATAATTCTGATTATTCTTAATAATTATGACTTTTTCTCTTATTTTAGGTTGCGATCTACTTTCTATAAAAAGAACTTCTTATTACATTTTTGCTAAGCGGGATCCAACTTTTTAAATTTTTAATAAAGAAACTTCAAGTCCTGTCTTTCGTTACTGAATCGAAAGTACTGTTCTGCGAAGACCATAAAGGATTGGGCTGACCTTCCAACCGGAGCAGCCTCTGTCTTTGGCCCGGATTATTGGGCTCACTTTAGCTTCCCTTTCCAATTCATAGCCCACTTTCTCACAGCAAAAACTTACCTAAAGTGAATACGTGAGTAAATATTATCTTCACGTAAATTACCACTTCAGCACTTCTATACATCGTAAAAATATAAATTATACATTAATATTTATAAATTATTTAAATTTATAAAATTTAAATCCATTTCAATTATTATCAATCCGAACTCGAATTCGAATAATCTAACTTATTGATCTAATCGAATTCAAGTATTTTTATATTTGACTTAAATTATTTGTGAGTGTAATTAATTTTTATATTTTAATATATTTTAATTGATAAAATATTCTCGAATTCAAGTTCGAGCTCGAATATAAATAATCAAATTTTTATCAAATATAAAAATTAAGTTTATTTTTATATGTTAATATTATTTAATTGAATGAATTTGAATAGCTTGATTTCTATCTCAAGTTAAGTTTAAATTAAAAAAATAAAATTGAATTGAGTTTAAGTTAAATTTAAGTATTAAATTTAAAGTCGAACTCAAACTCAAACTTAATACTATGTCAATTTGAACTCAATTGATTATATTTTTAATCTATAAATGAGTGGCTTATTATTTTTATTCATCTAGAAGAGATTTTTGAGTTTTATTCTATATAGCTTTTAAATGATATAAATAAATTTATTTATATTAGATCCATGAGTGTTTGGTAGAATTTATCTACCGCAAAAGCAGAATTCAAGGATTTAGTTATTAAAGTTCTAAGAATTTTAGTTTACACGAAAAGTTGATTTAAATTTTTAGATGAATGAAAATTTCTTTAAAAAATCTAATGAAAATATTTTATATTCTCAATTTACTTTATAATAATTCACAAAATTATAAGTAAGATTATATTATTTTACATTATATTTTTTACTTTGTTGATTTTTTATTGAATTCATTATTTTTTTATTATAATTAGAAATCCCTCTTAATTTGATTTGATTCAAAATATTAGTATATTAATAAAAAATATTTTATTTAATTTTACATAAAAAAATTAAAATATTAATATTAAAAATCTAATATTTTAATTTTAAAAATATTTTTATAATTTTACTTAAGTAAGACTTTTAACATGATATTTTAAGGTTAAATTGGACTTAATCGATAAAAAATATTATTATATTAATAAAAATATTTTAATTTATTTTTACATAAAAAAATTAAAATATTAACATTAAAAATATTTTGGTATTTTAATTTTAAATATTTTAATTTTATATATTATTAAACATAAATATTTTAATATTTCATTATAAATAGTAGTATAATTATTTTAATAATAAATAATTATTAATTTAATAATTAATATTATATAATATAATAATATTATTTTTTGGTAAAATGAATATTTTCATTTATTTCTTATTAATTTTCAATTTAAAATATTGTTTTTATATTTTATTTATTAATATATTTTTATTGGTATTTTAATAATAAATATAAATAAATAATATTTTGCTATGATTTAATAATAGATATTTTTAAAATAAAATATAAACTATTTTAATGGCATAAATATTTTTAATATTTTAACAATAAATATTATTATTTTAATTGTTATTATATAATAAAAATAATATGTTAAAAAGAGTAATGCTATTTTAAATATTTTAAAATATTAATATAAGTAACAAATATTTTGTCTTAAGCGTTTTTATATTAATAACAAACAACAAAAAAAAAACTCTATTTAAAAAAAAAGTAAATATTTTTTAAAAATCAATTTTCACAAAACAAATTAAAGCTAAACTTCTCTTTTACAACACTTTTAAAGCATCTCTACTTCAACAATATTTTTATAAAAACTGCAGCAAATCAAATAAACTAAAATAAATTTATAAATTTTTTTTTTCATAATATACGAACATTTTCAAACTCAAATAAAAAAAAAAAATTATACACGCCATTTATTAAAAAAAAAAAAAAAAACACCTAAACACAAACCATCGAGGGCATCTCATTGGAGCGGAACTCGTCACCCTGACCAATGAAAATGGACACACGGACACAACAATGCCAAGAATCAAAACAATAAATAGTAAATAAATAAGAGAAATAAAAAAAAATAAAGAAATAGTAGGACTCTGCTGTGCGCACTGTACAAATTCTCCTTGGAATCGAAGCTCAATCAGAATCTCATCAGCACTTCAATCCACCGTAGAATTTAAATTCAGGTCAAATCCATTAATCCGCTTGATTTCTAGGTTTTTTTTTTTTTTTTCATTTTTTAATTCTTTGGCTTGGATGTTTCATGCAGATCTGATTCTTGTTATTGAAGAAGAAACACTCTCTAATTATTATGAATTTATATGATCAGTAGAAATGTCTGAAAATCACGATTCGGAGAATTTTGGAGCTGTTGATAACGGACCAATTTACCCTCAATCTTCGACTAATCAGGTTTTTTTTTTTTTTTTTTTTAAATTGAAATCTCAGGTTTTTGTCTTTGTTTATGGGGGAAATCTGTAATTTGGTGTTTATTTTTGTAATTATAATTTTTTTTATCAATTTAGGAAGCGGAACCTATTGAGTTGTCTCGTGTTGATAGCAAAGAAGATATGTTTATGGATGCTTCCGATGAGTTGAATAATGATAATAAGGAAGCTGGAACGCCAACTGCACGTCAAAACGATGGTGTTTTAGAGGAAAAACCGAACGCGGTAGCTAGAGAGTTTGATGCAATGGATAATGGTGCATACAATAATGAAGATAATGATAATAATCACTTTGTCAATGAAGTGGAACGCTTGCGAGCTTTGCTGGAGCAGGCTGTTGACGAAAAAGAGAAACTCGAAATCAAACACAAGGTTTAATAGTTATGTATAGATGTTTTGCGCGTATTGCTGAATGATTTTTATGTTCTTAAAATGTTACTTAGGGTTTTAATGTTTGCAGGAAGAGATGGAGGCGCTTGCGAGGGGGATTTCTATGAAGGATCAAGAGATTGAAGGGCTGAATGCCAAGGTTATGAATTCAGTAGCAGAAGAAGAGAAGAAGGTTTATGTAGAGAATAGCCAGCGATGTGAGGTTGTAATGGAGAGGATTTTGGCTGCTCTTGGGTCAGTTGTTGATCAAGGAGATTTTTTGGGTGATTCTGGTGGGAAGCAGATTGACCTTGTTGAGAAAAGCGCGTTGGCATTAATTGAGAAGTATAACCAGTTTCATTTGAAGTTAATCAACTTAGGCAGTCTTTGACAAAGGCTGAGTGTGATTTTGGTGTGCGGGAGTTTGGGACTGTATTTGTTGCTGCCCGTGATGAGTTATGTGAGTTGAGGAGGAAGGAAGTGGAGCTGGTTGAAAAAATTGGTCTTCTGGAAGATGAAAATAGGAAATTGCTTGAACAAGTTGAAAGTGAGAAAGCGACAGTGGAGATGCTAAATTTGGAGCTTGGAAAAACAAAGACGGAGGTTGAGCAGGAAAAGATGAGGTGTGCTAATACTAAGGAAAAGCTAAGTATGGCTGTGACAAAAGGGAAGGCATTGGTTCAGAAGCGGGATGCTCTGAAGCATTCTTTGGCTGATAAAACAAGTGAGCTTGAGAAATGTCTAGTTGAATTGAAAGAGAAGTCTAGTTCCCTAGAAGCTGCCGAATTTCAAAAGGAAGAGTTGTTGAAAAGTGAAAATTTGGTTGCATCATTACAAGAATCACTCTCGCAAAAGACCTTGATTCTTGAGACATTTGAACACATCCTATCCCAGAATGATGTACCTGAGGAACTCCAATCAGTGGATATAGTTGGAAGAGCTAGATGGCTTGCTAATGAAAGAAATGAGCTGAAGGGTGTTTCCTTGGACTTCTTCAGATTGAAAGATACCATTTGTGCTATCGATTTACCCGAAAATGTCTCCTTTTCCGATTTAGATTCTTGCTTGGCTTGGCTTAAGGAATCCTTTTTCCAGGCTAAAGATGAAATAAATATGTTGCAAAATGAAATCACCACGATAAAGGAAGCTGCACGTTATGAGATAGATCATTTGAGTGCTTCACTTTTGACTGTACAACAAGAGAAGGATTGCATTAAGGAAGAGTTAGATCATCTCAGAAGTAAATATGACGAAATTGCAGGCAAGGCGCATCAGATATCATTGGACAAGGATCATTTAAGTGCTTCACTTGCAGCCGAACTAGCAGAGAAGGATTATATTCAAAAGGAGTTGGACAACATCACAAGTAAATATGAAAAAGTAGTTGAGAAGCTCCATCAACTTTCATCAGAAAAAAATGAGATGGTCCGATTGTTGATAGAGGGTTCTGGAATAGTGATGGGGGATCAAGAATGGATTGAAGAGACTTCTTCTAATCTGCCTATGCTAATAGATAGGTGCTTTGGGAAGATAAAGGAACAAATGAGTGCATCTTTGGAGAATCCTTTTGTGGATGCAGAACTATTTGAAAACCTTCAAAGTCTCTTGTATGTTAAGGATCTGGAATTGACACTTTGTGAGGAAATACTAGAAGAAGATATTCTGGTGAGGTCACAGCTGAAAGATCTGTCAAGTAAGTTCAGAGTAACTTATCGGGAACTTTTTGTGGTGAAGGAGGAGAAAGATGTTCTGCAAAAAGATCTTGAACGGTCAGAGGAGAAATCTAGTCTGTTGAGGGAGAAGTTATCAATGGCAGTTAAGAAGGGAAAGGGATTGGTTCAAGATCGGGAAAACTTGAAAGTTCTTCTTGAGGAAAAGAACTCAGAAATTGAGAAGCTGAGGCTTGAGTTACAACAGGAAGAATCTACAGTTGCTGAGTGCAGGGATCAGATCTGTACTTTATCTACTGATCTAGAGTGCATCCCGAAGTTGGAGAGTGACCTTACAGCTATGAAAGAGGAAAGGGATCAACTTGAGAAGTTCTTATTTGAGAGCAATGGCATATTGCAGAGAGTAGTTGAATCAATTGATCGCATTGTTATTCCAGTTGATTCAGCATTTCAAGAGCCTGTAGAGAAGCTGAACTTCCTTGCTAGGTGTATTGATGATTTTCAGACTGCCAAGACACATACTGAACAAGAGTTGAGGGAAGTAAAGGAAGAGGCTAGTAACCTGGCTGGCAAGTTATCCGAGGCCCAAGCAACTATGAAATTACTTGAAGATGCATTGGCTGTTGCAAAGAATGATTTGTCTCAACTTGCTGAAGAGAAGAGGGAGATGGAATTTGATAAAAAAAATATACAGACAGAGTTGCAGAAAGCAATCCAAGAATCTCATTCACAAACTAACAAGTTTGCTGAGACTTGTGAGGCTAGAAAGTCACTTGAAGAGGCATTGTCACAGGCAGAAAGTAAAATTTCATTGCTTATCAGTGAGAAAGAAGAGGCTCAAAGTAGCAGAACTGCTTCAGAGATGGAAGTGGAGAAAGTGAGAGGGGAAGTTTCTGTTCAGACTAGCAAACTCACAGAGGCATATAACACTATAAAGTCACTTGAAAATAGACTTTCTCGGGCAGAGATGACTGTTGCTTCACTAACTGAACAAAGTAACAATTCACAAGTGGAAATAAGCAACTTGGAGAATGAACTGAAGAAACTAAAAGATGAAACTGAGACCCAGGCTAGCAGGCTGGCAGGTGCTGGCACAACCATAAAATCACTAGAAGATGCATTGGTTAAGGCAGAAAATGACTTTTCTGCACTTCAAGGCGAAAAAAGAACTGCTGATCAGGAGATATCGACTCTTAATTCCAAGCTGAATGCATGCATGGAAGAGTTGGCTGGGAATAGTGGCAGATTGAAAAGCAGATCCAGTGAGTTGATTGGTCATCTCAACAATCTTCAAACGCTTGCCAAAGACCAAAGTTTTTACTCCACAATGAAACAATGCTTTGACAGGAACTTGGAGTGCCTTAAAGACATGGATCTTACCATTAAAAACACAAGGGAGCAATTGTTTGACAAGGATTTGGAACTGCTGAAAGGTTACCCACTCATGGAGGTGATGCCAAATTTCCCTTTTTCTTTTAGCTTGTCCTCTGGAAATTGAATCAATTTCTTTCCTCACCTTCCTGAAAGACTGAAGAAATTTATTATTACTTTTAATTGTCTTTTTCCGTTTATCACAGGATATTGCTAATCTGGCAAGACAATTCTCTGATGATATGGATAATACTGTGAACACTGAAATGGAGAATGATGAAGCAAATGCAATAAATGCTGATGATGTTTCTTCTTGTTTTAGAAGGGTTGCAGAAGGGTTCCAGTTGCGAAACAAAATCCTAGCAGATAGGTTTGAAGGTTTTTCAAACTTCCTAGATGAGTCAATAGCAGCCCTATTAAAAAAATTACAGGCCACAAAGGATGAGATAGAAAGTATGGTTGAGAGTATGGAATCCTTGAAACAAAATGTCAAAAACCTGGAACTCCGTGAACAAGAAAAGGAGAAGGCTATAACCATGTTACAGAATGATGTTGGAATTTTACTCTCTGCTTGTACAGATGCAACTGGAGACCTGCAGCTTGAAGTTAAGAACAATCTTATAGAACTTATCTCTGTTCCTGGGCTTGAAAAATTGAACCATGGTTTGCAACCAGAAGTGGGAGAATCTGTTGGGGATGACATGGCTCAGCAAGAGTTTGGTGGCAACAGATATGCTCAGACAGCAGAGAAATTGTTGACTGCTACTAGAAAAGTTCAAAGTTCGGTGAAGTTTTTTGAAACTACAAGCAAAGCAGTGGCCACTGTCATTCATGATTTGCGGAAAGAATTGGAAGATACCAGAAAAGCCTGTGAGAAAGCCATTGAAGAAAGAGATGCATATCAAAGTAGGATTTTCAAGTTGGAGAATGATGTAGAAGCATTGGAAGATTCATGCAGAGAACTGAGGCTCAAGGTAGAGGGTTATCAAGCCAAAGAGGACATATGGAAAGAAAAAGAGGCAGAAATTTTGTCATTGTACAATAGTTTGTTGATGAAAGAAAAAGGTAAACGCCTCCCCTCTTAATTTGTTAAACTTATGCACTTGATTGTTAATTGCCAATACTCTTTATTAAGTTGTTTTTCTATTGTTGCAGAAGCTGAAGAGCCTTTCCTGTCTGCATCTCAATTAAGAACTCTATTCGACAAGCTAAGTGGGATGGAATTTCCTCTTGTAGAGTCAGAAGACCTGGAGCCCCATAGCTCGGCTGATGCTAAGAAACTGTTTTCTGTTATTGATAGTTTCACTGATTTACAGAATCAAATAAATTTGCTATCTTATGAGAAGGAAGCACTACAGTCTACACTTTCAAGACAGATTTGCGAAATTGAACATCTTAAAGAAGAAATGGGAATACATGTTAGAAATAAGCTAGCTTTGGAAGAGATGAAAACGGAACTGTCTGAGGCTACATTTGGTTTGGAAAAGATTATTGTTGTGTTGGGAGGTAAGGAGTTTATTGGAGGCCAAAATTCTGTTGGTTTGAAAGCATTTTTGCCTGTTTTAGAAAAGCGTGTTAATGCCCTGCTGCTGGAGGCCGAAAATTCAAAATCCAAAGCACAGGAACTTGGTACCAAGTTAATTGAAAGCCAAAAGGTCGCGGATGAATTGTCAACTAAGGTTAAGTTACTTGAAGATTCTGTTCATGGTAGGACTGTTCAGCCTGAGATTGTCCAGGAAAGGAGCATCTTTGAAGCACCTCCTGCACCCACTGGGTCAGAAATATCTGAAATTGAAGATGCGGTAAATAATTTTTTTACACAGTTCCATAATTAATTTAACTTATTAACTTGATGGTGTCACTATGAACTGTCTGTGATTTGATATGTGTATTATTAGCTTGTTTTGTTCAATTAGCATTTGAGTTATAGTGACTTCAATTTTGTGCAGATCTAACTGTCTAAAACGAAGTTTTGGAAACATGCATATAAAATAAAGATTTGGGGTTTAAGGTGCTTGCTTGAGTTGAGATTGTGATGCAGATATTGAGTGTGTTTAGGATAATTTTGCTTAGAAGATATAACTATTATGCGTGGCAGTTTAATTAGACCTCTGATTTTCTCTTATAGATAGCTTTAAAATTTAAATGCATAGATGGTATTTAGTTCTAATGCAATGTAAACGATCTATTTTTGGTCAATGAATCTGCTTTATTATTGCCGTACCCTATTGCTTTATGACACAGTTAATTCTTCAACCTAAATGTTTTGTGGCTGTATGGTGATATCAGAGAACTTAATTATGAAATTTTCACATACCTAATCTTTGATTCTTAACTTGATTATAAATATATATATATATATATATATATATAATATATATATAGTGATGAATCTTTTGAAGTGAAATTATTAGAACATCTTCCAGTGATGCTTGGATATTCAATGCCCTTTGTTGAGAATGCTACAATGGCGGTTAATGAGGATTTGAGCATGACTTCCCAATGAAACTGTGTGTGAATATGGAGACAGATGGATTAAGGAAATCACTTTGGCGTTAAGCATGCATGCAAAATGTTTGAATAAGATTGTGGTAACAAATATATTGGTAAAGAAAAGAAAAAAAAGAAGTGTTGCTAATTATGGACTGTTAAATGCACAATCACGTGACTCATTATACTGTCAATATACTTCTTAACTTTATGATGATGTTGCTTCCTAATAGAAACACTTTCCTTTCAAAAATTTGAAGCATCTCTCTCTTATTCATTTAAAGCTGAATGCTGGATTTCTCAATAGTCACTACCATTCTTGGGGGGTCTTTTTAATCTGTTTGGTTCTACTGATGTATAATGCATCCCTGCAAACTCTGCTCTACGAAATCTAATTACTTTTGAATGTTATGCAGGGATCACTTGGAAAAAATACAATATCTCCTGTGCCCCCGGCTGCTCATGTGCGAACTATGCGAAAAGGATCAACAGACCATCTTGCACTTAATATTGACTTGGAATCTGATCACCTGATCAACAATGAGGAAACTGATGAGGACAAAGGTTGGCACTAGTATATTTTTGTAGAGAAGTAACTTCAGATCACTGTAAGTCTGAGTTTGCAAAACTTAAGCAAGTGTCCTTTGACAGGTCATTTATTCAAGTCTCTCAACACATCTGGCCTCATTCCAAAACGAGGAAAGTTGATTGCAGATCGAGTTGACGGAATTTGGTAAAATGCTCTACTCAAATTATGAGGGAAAGGGAATTTTTCTTTCTCTAGAGGGAATGTTAAGTGCTTGCTTACTGTGTATTTTATTCATTTCTAATGATCTTACGTCTGTTCTTAATTGGTTCAGGGTATCTGGTGGCCGAGTTCTAAGCAGTCGTCCAAGAGCAAGGCTAGGCCTCATTGCCTATTGTCTTCTCCTGCATATATGGCTACTGGGAACCATTTTGTAACAACGTTTGTGACCATCAATCCACCGGACCAACGCCTTACCGTATCAGATCAGCTTCTTAAATTGTATCATAGATAAAATTGTAGTCATTCTTTCCCATTCTTTTGTTTTTCCCTCATCTAACTCTTCTTAACATGGTGCCTAATAGGTTGGCATACATTTTCTGACCACCGTATGCATTCTCTGCAATAGCATTTTTAGAAACTGCAGAGAATGTAAGGTTCAAACTTTCAAACGCAATAATTCGCATTGTGCCCCTTTTGTCTGAAGTGGGACATTGAGCATATTGCAAATTGTGATAGATCGTAGACAAAATTGAGATATATATATATATATATATATATATATATATATATATGTGCTCCACGGTTTACTTGAAATTTTTGTCCTGCCATCATTTTAGGTACATTTATCGGCCCTTCGAGTTTGTAATCATATTACACGGTGATACATTCAGGTTGGTTTTAGCCTCCTCTCGTGTATAGCTTTGTTGAAGGTTTAAATCCCGTTGTAGATAAAGGTGTAATCAAGTCGATACATTATCAGGTTCGTATTTGGCTGTTTAATTCGAGATTGATCGTAAATTTTATTTTTTTATACGGCTCAATTATATTCAATAAAATTATAAATATTTATATTAAATATTATATTTATGTCATTTATATATTAAATTAAAAAATAAAGATTTGATTAAGTTTGATTAGGTTTGTATGTCATTCAAATTGGATATTAAATTACGTGAACCTAATTTGATTAGTTATTAATTAGTTTGAGTTTTTTTTTTATTCGATAATAAATGAATGAGTGGGAATTTTTTAAAATTGAATTTGAATAATTTATAAATAGTTAAAGTTATTTACACTTTTAGTTGGATTAGATTAAAGTTCTAATTGATTCGACTCCTAGTAGTTTGCAAAATTTCAGTGCTTAAAAAGTCTAAAAATCGTTGCTAGTAATCGTCGTTAAAAACCACACACACAGAGCAAAAGAAAAAGTAGGGGCAAACACTAACGCACGCAGCCGATTAATGACCCAATTATAGGTTTTATGCCATCATTTCAAGTAGTACGCCTTCCGAAATTCCTTGTGGCTTGGAATAAAATAAGAGGAAGGGAAAGGAAAAGAATTTTAAGCGGTCATCTCATGGTGGTTAGTCATTGGTTTGGACGGCATAGGATATTTCATATTTGTGCTCTACTTCCAGTTTTCCTCAGCCTCCTTTGTCCTTATTTGCAATTCTAGTTGGGAACATTGAAATACAGAAACTGCAGGAGTAAGGCTTGGCTTCCATTGACTCTCTCTCTCTCTCACACACACACACAACTCACGTTCTTTTCTTGCTTTCAATGTGTTGCTTATCATTTTTTTTTTTTTAAATTGGGGTATAACATCTTAAAGGTACATCCACTTGGATTTGGAAGTTGTAACCAGCTATGGGTTGGCTCACTATAAATTGTTAGTGCCACTTCTCCTTAAGTTTGCTTTCTTATTCTGTTTCTTTCACTTACCAAAAGGTTTACCTAAAATGCCAAAGTAATAGAATGCTAAAATCGGGAAAGTTGTAATGCTTCATGGTTTCATGTTAATTCTTGCATCACGATGTATCACATTTGGTCTCAAGAACTCAATCATTATTCAAAAAAATTGTTTAGTCTTTGTTAATTATGCAAAATTGGTGATATTTGAATAGGTGGGAAGTTTGCTGGCTACAATGGTGCCAAAGAGCTTTCAACCCAAAACTCAATCAGTGTAAGCTACCTGGTATTGATGTATTTTACAAGTGGATAACGTTCTGGTTCTACAGGTTCTATACATATCTGTTTTCCTGTGCAGGGTACTAAATTTAGTCTAAGGGCCTTTGCTAGGGTACTGCTTTCCTCTGCAGGGTTTGCTTCAGCATTCCCTATCAGTAGCTTGATTTTGATATTCTTATCCTTTGCTCTTAGACTCCCATTTTTTTTCTGATTTATGTCCAATATTACTTGTTTAGTAGCTTAAAGTAACTTGACTTTCTTTAGTTCAAGAATATGACCAAACTAATGAGTTTGTGACTTTGATTTTTCTTAACTCGGTAATTAAATCACTTTGTAAGATATAAATCCTAATTGTAATCTGCAGCTATCTCAAGTTGGCATATCAAACTGTTGTCAAGTGGGTGAGACTGACATTTTTAAAATCTTGGCAACTTGATTTGGATGGTCAAATACAAGCAGAAGAAGAAAAACTGAAAGAAAAGAAATGGGCTTAAATCTGTGACAGGCTGAGGAAACTGAATGGATATGTCTAAAAAGTTTGTATACTGCTATCACTCTAGTCTACACCCGAACCTGCCATTTGCTTCTCTTAATTTCTTCAAATCCATGGTGATGATGTTTTTCCTTGATCGGATGGTATGAATATGTGATACTCATATTCTATCCATGCACCAACCACTTTTAGCAGTATATAACTATGGAAAAGACCCGTGATCCAAGCTGGAGGCATCCATGTGATCAGCAGTAATACTCAACTGTTTTCTTTTCTTTTTATTTTGTTTAAAATCCACAGTTTGTCTTCTTTTAAAGATGTGGTATATCTCACCGGCAAAACCTATACATTTAAAGGATTTATCTATGATCTATTGACTCATCTTGTTTTTAATTTATTTGTATTTTGTTTTATTACAAGTAGACCTATTCAAGAGCAGATTACTCGCTCAAGCTCGAAAGTTCGTTCAAATTTTAAGAGAGTTTGAACAAAAAATTAAAATTCGTTAAATGAGCTTATAATTTTTAAGCTCATTTAAATTTTTAATCGACATTGGACAAAAAGTTTAAACTCTGAGCCTGACTTAATCTTATCTTATCTAAATTCACATGTATATAATTTTTTTATTTTTATATATATTTGAGTTATATAAAAATTAATTTACATATATAAAAATTAAAAATAAAAATTATATATTTTTATTAGATTTAATTTTAATTTTAATTTTTTTATATATACGTGAATTAAATATAATCTCATTAAATTTAATTTAATTACCCTTTTTAAAATTTTTTATTATATAAATTAAATTTAATTGATGGATTTAAGATTATTTTTTAAAATTTGGGCCGAGCTTAAAAAATTTTTGAAATCCAAAATTTCAAGCTTAAATTGGGTCTGAGCAAGTATATAAACTATTAATATCAAATATAAATTTGACCCAAACCTGATCGGATCTAACCTATGAATACCTCTAATTACAAGAGTCGAATATTTATATTTAGTTAAAAATAATTAAATAGAAAATGTTGAAAATTTATCCAACAAACAACAATGAACGAGAAGAAAAACCAAATAGAAATCAAGTAAACATAAATAGACAGAAATATATGTGGTTTCATCACTTGTTAATGTCCACGAAATCAACAATCCTACAACAACAAATACTCTAACTCACTTTAGCTAACTATATTTTCAACTACTAAACTTGGTAAAAGATTACAGACCATCCATATACTTCATTAAATTAAAAAAAAAAAAACCAGTATGAGATATCACAGATGACAAGATATATATCAATTTCAATATAACCATATATAAAAATTATCTCTTAAGGAATATGACTTTGACATGAATTTTTTTTTAATAGTTGTTTTATGTTTAACTAGAAGCAAAAGAAAGAAGTTTTTTTGACAGGTGTCGATTTTTTGTACTTTTATATTTGATAGGTGTATTTTATCTCGATTTTCAAAATTTTTTTTTTGGTTTCTATTACTATTTGAAAGAGAGAAATTGTAACATGATAGACAAGCTTCTAATGTATGAGTTTCTTTTTTCATTTTTCTTTTGTTATTTCTTTTTTTTAGGTATTTTTGGGTAAAAATTTTTTCTTCTTTTTATTATTTGATTGAATGTGATTTTTTTTTTTTTTTTTAAGTTTTGTTGTAATGATTTTGGTGTAACAGATTTTAATTTTATTTAATGGAGTTTGATTGTTGAATAGGGTTTGGGTTTTGGGAGATTTGCATATTATTGTGAATGTGTTTTTTTTAGGAAGATTTTATTTTGCATGTTCTAATGTTGGATGAAAATCAATTTTTAGTTATTTTAATTGATGATGCTTCTTTTTATTGCTGTTGTGATTGCTTTTTGTTTTTCATATTCAGATTTTGTTTTGCATTTTGTTTGAATGAAATTATGATTTTGTTTTCAATTGATTCTTTCTTCTTTTTTTTTTGTCTCAGGGTTTGTTGAAGTTTTTTGGATATATAATTTTTAGGTTAGTATGAATTGTTTTATGTGTTGTTTTGCTTTATTTATTGTGTATTTGAGTTTGTTAAGTTGTATGTGTTGTTTGCTTTTTTGCATTGTATATTTAATTCTTCTGTTACACCTATTAAGTGTTTTTTTTTTTTTTTACATTTTTTTCTTATAATGTCTTAGTATAATTAAATGAATTAATGAATCGAACAACCTTATTTGTTGAGGATTGTGGTCATCACAACTAAGTTTTTTTTTTTTTTCTTAAGATGTTTTTATTGACAGGTGCATTTGTTTTAGTGCTGACTTTTTTTTCTTAGTGTGTTTTTGTTAACAAGTGTATGCCTTATGTTGTTGTTAAAGTAAGTTATATATATTTGTCTTGAAAATACTTTGAATGTGAGATCGATTAAGAGATAGGTAGATTTTTTTGTTGTTAAACTCTATTTTTTATTTTGCATGATTTTAAATAAAAAGAAACTGACCGTTAGATCGTAAGTTTAAAGTGATGCAAAAGGAAAGTAGTTTTTGTTATGCGATGTTGTGGATCATTGGAGGTATACTTGAAAGTTTGAGTTCATTGTTTTATTTTTAATATGGTTGATGTATATAGTTATTTTTATTTGGTATTTGACATATAAGATTTATGAAAAAGAAGAAAAAATTATCAAAGTTTACACTTTTGTATTGAAAGTAAGTTATATATGGTTGTCTTGAAAAGTGTCAAAAAAATTAAAATTTATACTTTTTCCTTATAATGCCTTATGTTGTTGTTAGATTGAGTTCTATGTAGTTGTTTTCAAAGTAGTTTAAATGTGTTTTTAAGTAAAAGACAAGTTGATTGGTTTGAACTTGAGATTTTTTTTTTATTATTATTAAACTTGATAATGTGGTATTGTTTTTACTTCTAAGAGATTTGTTAATGTCAATTTTTTCCATGTAATTGTACGCTTAGTATGACTTTAAACAAAAAAAATTTGACTGCTAGATCATAAATTTAAAGTGACGCATAAGGCAAATAGTTTTTATGATGTAATAGTGATGACCATGATAAGTGTATTTGGTGTTTTGAGTTCGTTGTTTTGTTTTTAATATGATTGATGTATATAGTTATTTTTATTTGGTGTGTGACATAAGATTTATGAAAAAGTCTTTTTTTTTGTTTCGTGTTAGATTTAAAATAGAAGTATCTACCAACAACTTTATTTTAATTTTGTTCTATCATGTTGTGTTGATAGAGGTTATTTACATGATTTGAGATTATTTAAAGAGATGAACTAGATGAGAGTGAGGAAAGTAGCTATAAATGTTGCTAACCCATGCCTTGCTCTTCTCTTTCACCTTTTTACTTACTTAAGTTTCATCATGCTGTCTCTTATTTTTTATGGTTCGTTTCTTTTTTCTCTTTTTTAATTTTGAGTTCTGTTTACAATTGATTTAATTTGTTTCATAACTATTGGTTTTTATGATTGGATTTTTTTAATTAATATAATATTTTTTTCACGGCTTTGTTTTTTTGATAAATTTGATTGTTTAATAAATTTTTAATTATACATTAGATTGTTATAGTTAAAATCAAATGAAATAGTGACAAATAGTTAATTGTTCATGGTTTAGTTTTGAAGAAACAGTGAAATCCAAGCTTCATGTTTCGTTACCTTTTCTTCCAATGTTGATATAATAAGCATGCCTTTTCATACTCTATTTTTTATGCTAAAAAATTATTACAATATGCTTTTAGCTATAAATTGTAAAACCCATGTTTGTATTTCTAGATTCCTTTAACTTCATTTCCTATATTTTTCGTTATTTCTTTATGTTATTTTTAGCTTCCATTTTGCAATAGGTGTATCTTTTTTTTTTTTTAATATTTCTTCCACATTTATTTATGTAGCTTGCTGTGAATTTGTTTGTTTTTACTTCTTAATGTTTATTTTGGTTCTTCTTTCTTTTTCTCGATTTGATTTTAGTTGGGTTAAAGTATGCGCAAAGAATGTTTGTTTAATTTATAGTGTTTATTCCCCAACAAAATCTTTTTTATGTTGTTTCCTTAAAAAATACTTTTCTTTTGTTTAGCTTATACAAAATTAAGTTTGGATTTTGTTCTTTTAGCTTAAAGTTTGTTTGTTTCAAATTTTTTCATTTTGATGTCACATATAATTTGATTTTTTTTTTAAGCAATAAGTGTTTTTTGAATTTTTCATTATCTTATTTCAAGTTAAATACGAGCATTATTTATAGATTGCTTTGTTCCTTTATTCTAACCAAATAAGTTAATTGGAATTATGTTCTAATGATTAGAAATTTGTAATTTCTACAATGTTATAGCTTTTTTTAATAACTTATCAGTTATGTTTGTTCAATTTAATACACAACAATATAACTAATTGTTTTAATGCATGAAGTGTTTTAAGATATAATTGGTGGATACTTAATGTGTGATTTTCTTTGTATGTTTTTAGCTTTACACATTTGAACATTTCTTTGTAATGTTCTCTCCAATTATTTTGTGTAATGTTATTGCAGGTTTATATTCTAACGTATAGATCCATGGACCTATCACTAGATACAACCTAATGAGTCACCACAAATCTTTTGTTAAGGTGTAATTGGTTACTTAGGGGAATTTATTCCATTTAAGATATCCTAAACTTAACCAAGGGTTCCTAAAGTATAGGTTCTAGTCAACTAATTAGAATAAAGTTCGAGAGTTCAGTTACATACAAAGAAAGATTATGGCACCCATACACACCCGTCCAAAAGACGATACCATTTATTTTAAATCAACCTAAGGATTTTTTGTTATAATGGTCTTTTATTAAATTTTAATATTTAAAATATTGAAAATAAGTTCTAAAATTTCTCCAATCTAGTAGAATCCTTAATAATATTTCTTCATTTTAAGAGTATTCAAGAATTCTATTTATTTTCTTGAAGATGCTTCATCATTAGAAAAATTTAATCATTTACCTTTTGTTAAATTTTTGTTTTATTGAAAATATATCTAATTTTTCTACTATTTGGGCCAAAATTAAAAATATTTTTTCATCGAGAAATCTCTTAGATAACCATTTGAATGTGATTATTAAGAATTTCATCATTAGATTTATTTTTTGTTTGTAAGTTTTATTTTTAAAATTTTCATTGTTTGAGTCTAATTCAAAAATATCTTACAATTTTCATTTTTAAATTTTCTATTATTTTGGTTAAATTTAAAAATATTTTTTTTAGAATCTAAACTTTTGTCATTTGTTTCTTTTTTCTTTAGAAAATATATGACAATTATTTTGAAGTCTCTTTTAAATTCTTCCACCATTTGAGTTAAATTTAAAAAAAAAAAAAAGACCTCATCTAGAAATCTTATAGAAATTCAACAATTTATAATTTTTCTTAAGATTTCATATTTGGATAAGCACCATATATT